AAAAACAACAAAACAACAACAAGGAAAATCATCATCAACCACAAAACAAGGAGGTGTGATCAACATACTGATAGCACTACAGCCTGTGGACTTTGCTATCTCCTACCACAGCAGCCCTGGCACCCTGCACTAGAGAGTTGGAAAACCACCTATAGCTACTTTTGGCATGTTCCTTAAAGGTTAGAGTTATTCAGATACATCTTCATTCTCCTCAGTCAAGATTCACAGGTGAGTCAACACAGCCTATGGGAGGCCAGTCTGATTCAAGGCTGCTGACAGAGCTAAAAGTATCAGCGTCTACAGCTCCTAGCAATAGATAAAAGTAAAATCAGCCAAACAAGACCAGTATGGTAACCATATTATATCCTGGCTGAAATCCATATTGCCAGAATACAAACGAATCAGAGACTTCTACACCTTTCCCACAACTTTTTTGATACCTCCCCCAAAACCAGAAAGTTAAGAGACAGAGGTGTCATTGGAAAAATCATCATCACCAAACAGTGGTTTCTTTGGCAATTAATAATTCCTCTCTTGAGTAAACCTAGCACCAAGTCTTTAGAAGTTAGATGGCTGTTGAATTAGTTTTCGATCTCATGGTCCCCATGATAAGACTAGTACTAAGCTGTTCATTTGTCTCAATATATAGAGGTGGGCCAATTCTGGGAATCTCTTCCAATAATGCTACCCTAAACATCAAGGTTTCTTTAAAAAGCAAGAAAGGGACATGCATCCCTTTTGGAGGTTATAATCTACCAACATGATGAACTCACTAAAAAACGGAGCTAGTCTGTTATAGAAAAAAACAATAAATGGTCTGGTAGCACTATATAGACTGACAAAACATGTAGATGGTATCATGAGCTTTCATGGGCACAGCCCACTTCTTCACATGACCAGTTATGAGTTTGGGATGTGAACACTCAAAATAAATAGGAGAGGGGAAGGGCGGGAGGGAGAGAATAAAAGAAGGGCGGCCGGGATGGGGGGGAGGGGAGGATGAACAGAGCATTAGTAAGTATCTGGAGAAAGAAGTGAAAAAACAAATAGAGCCAAAAAAGTACCCAGACATGAACTACTTCAAGACAGACCCAAAAGAGAAAACAACAGAACTCCTCTTGTTGTTACCTACAGTCCACAACTCAGACCCCTCCAACACATTATACACAACCTACAACCCATCTTGAAAAATGATCCCTCACTCTCAGATGCCTTGGGAGAAAAACTTATTCTTGCTTACAGACAACCTCCTAACCTGAAACGTATTCTTTCTGGTAACTGTACCACACAACCACATCATAAGCCTCCAGGAACACAGCCATGCAACCAAAAGAGATGCCAACTCTGCCCACATATCTATACTGGCGAATTCATCACTGGAGCAAACAACATAAGCCACAAAATCAAAAGGTCATTTGACTGCACATCCAGTAATTTGATCTATGCTATCAAATGCCAGCAGTGCCCCACTGCTATATATATATATTGGACAAACTGGACAGTCTCTGCGGGAAAGAATCAATGGACACAAATCAGATATACGTACAGAAACCTATTGGTGAACACTTTAACCTTCCAAATCATACTATGACAGATCTTCAAGTAGCTGTCTTGTCACAAACCAGCTCTACAAGCCAGATCCACAGGGAAGCCTTGGAATTAGAGTTCATCCGCAAATTCAATTCACATGCTAATGGACTTAAATCGTGATGAAGGTTGGTTAGGATATTTCCAATTTAACAACCATTGAAGGTGCTAACAGCTCTCTGAGTAGTATCCTTCCTGACATGGGAATCTATCTATTGAGTTTGATTTTTATCTGCTTAGGTTTAAGTACCTATTCTCCAGATACTGTATTTACTGATGCTCTTTCCCCACCCCCCCACCCCTCCCCTTCCCCTCTCCTATTTATTTCAAGTGTTCACATCCCAAACTCATAACTCCGGTCATCTGAAGAAGTGGGCTGTGCCCACAAAAGCTCATGATACCATCTACATGTTTAGTTAGTCTATAAAGTGCTACCAGACCATTTGTTGTTTTTCGCTAAAAAATGTTTGCTCCCTACAGATATGTTCTATCATGAAGGCTGATCCTGTCCGATCAATTAGTCTTATTCATAGAGTAGATGGAAAATTCTTCAACGTGAACAAACAGGGGCTTTGTTTCCAAGTAGAGGCATCTCACAGTAACTAACTTGCTTGCTACCTATAGCAGTTCCACTGATGTATTCCTCAAAGCAGCAATTTTATCTTATTGCATAAGCTATAATTTGTGCATCTCCAAGCACTTGTGTTGAATGAGGATAATCACTAAAAGTTCATGGATGGTGGAGAAAATGAAAGTTTCCTTAGCCTTCCCCACAGCATGGCCCTTCCAGAATTTCTCTACTATAATCAGTTAGTCTGACTCCAAAAGCAACTTCCACACAATTGGTGCAGTAACTGCTTCCCCACATTAATTGAATGTCATACATCATACCAAAATGACCCATGAGGATGTCATAAAAGGAGAGGAAATTTAGAAGAAATATTGATAGTTGAAGTACGATGGTTAACATATAGTACAAACCTCGACAAAATGGCCTACTATTAATGTTCTCCCTCACAGAATTCTGAAATTAAATAGGCCAGTGAAATATGTGCACCATCCTGAGATATGTGCACTCTATCTGATGGGGGTAATAACAACATGACAACAGTTCCCTCCAATTTGCCTTTGAGTTTGGACGCGAAGGACCAGAATTTGCCCACCCCTGTATACTAAGACACAAGCTAACAGATCAGTACTAGTCTTATCACGGAGGCCATGAGATCCTAAACTAATCCAAAAGTCATCTGATATGAATGTTGATATCATCCAGGACATGGTATACTGATTAACACTCTAACATGACAGAGAAGAAGTTATTTTACTCTGAGAGGAACTGTGAGGTACAACAGACACCTCTTATCCCCACCACATTTTCTGTGATATGCCCTAATTTGGAACTCACAAAAGGGCACATTCTACACTTGTATCTAGTGTGGAGTGTGAAAGGATTTTATGTATAAAGTCAGATAACAGTATGGTGATACCAGCTCTCAAAGTCTTCCTTGGCTAACACTGAGCCAGCAACAATCTAGAGACAAAACGAATCCTGACACATACACACACATCCCATCATCATCCAGTTAGGGAGCCTCCTCTATTCTGAAATCATGGGTGCTGATAAGCCACGTTAATTACAGATCTTGCATTAATTCATAAATGGAAAGAATCACAGAATCTCAGTCAATGTACTCTAGAAAGGCCTACTCCAAGAGTCTGTAACCTTTAATGACACTTTCAGAAACAAGTACAGTCATAATAAAACAAGAAAAGAAAATTTAAATTCCATTCAAAAAACATTAAGCATAAGACATAAATGTAAAAAAACAAACAAATAGGAACTGTCTTTAGCACAGTTTATTATGTTGCCTGAGTATAACAGTCTCTAAAATATTGGATGTTAATCCTATAGATTGTACAGACTGCAAAGCTTATCCTGTTATTTTTTTTAAGTTACACCTGTAACATTATCTGAACATATTCTCTGGTAACTAAGTACATATACAAAGCAGACTGTTTTCTTCTGGAGAGATTAGTTTAGATTAGTAGGCATGTAGTGCAGTACATCAGGGGGTTGATTTTTAAAAACACTCACTATTCAGAGCTTCCACTAAATGCAATGGGTTAGGCCAACATAGAACATTTATGAAAAACCATAGCTGATCTCTTCAGTGCTTCAGTTTTCACAGATTGATTCCATTTCTTCCCAAAAAGAATGCAACAAATTTGGCAAGGATGTTAAATTGTCTTGTGTTTTGCCGACAAGGACAGTTTTCCCCTTAAAATCATTCACTCAGGAAAAGGCTATGTGCTCCTCTGTGATAAGAAATTCCAATCAGTGTTTTAAATGGAGTTCTTTATATTGATTTTAAAGTGACCTCTAAAACCATTCAAGATAGTCTATGTTTAATATCCAAGTAGCATGGCCCACAGCCCCAGAGATTTTAACAATAGTTGGTCAAACAACTCAATCTGTTTTAGATGCAAAAGGGTGATGAAAGTGTTAGTCTAATAACCGCAGGGCAGCAGAAGATGCAAAATGACCTGGCTAATCTAGATAAATGACATGATATAGCACAGTGCTCTTTACATTCAGCTAGTTCTACTAGTAAAGGGTCAGGATCCAGATAAAAGTTATCTTCTTTATTATTACCCTGCTGGAAGATTCTCTGATACTATGCAATAGACACAGTACAAGAACAATACTAAAGAAGTCCTTAATTTTATTACTAATATAATACATAGGATTAAAATTGAAGTAATTTTAAATATCCAATTTACTTTTTACCACTCTTGCTACCACTTGCATTGTATTCAGCTTGCTCAGTTAAACTTGTCAGTTTCACTTTGATTATGCTGCAGCCAGGTCCAGTCTCCGGCTCTCATGTACAAGCTTAGCACTGCCGTGTTTGATTTTTTCCACCCTTGCAGCAAGTTATGAAAGTGTTTGAGTCAAATACGTGAAAATAAAATCATATGACACGAAACACAGAATAAGTGTTGAAAAAGAAGTTGGGGGTGTCATTTGCTTTAGTTTTAAAATATGCAGTCTAAATTTCTAATATCTTTTACTCCTGTTTACAGATTAGAGAATCTTGTTCACCTTACTGTAATGAAACCTCTCTGGCATCCAACACAGTACCACAGACCTTTCAACATTGCCTAGCAACCCACTTGCTTAAACTCAACTTGGATCCAAAGTTCAAAGATTCCAACAGCAGCCAGTCAGAAATAATATTCTCTTCTCCCCCCACAAAAGAAAAATCACTGCCTGTGTAACTCAGCCCCAATGTTTATAAACAAAATCAGAAAGCCTAATTCCAAGCGATCTTTCTGCCAAATTCATATTAACAAAACAACTGAGAAAATTAAATAAGCAGCATAAAGAGGGAAACGGACAAGTGGTTACTTACTCTCTTCATTCTGAGGATGTTGAACTACAATCTGAAAAAGCAGACGGAGCATTCCAGGGTTCTGATCATCATGATCACAGCCTTGCAGGGACAAGTTGAAATTGCCAGCAATATTGGCAGGTTGTTTGTCGCTCAGTTTATACACCTCAGGGCTACCGTACAATCCAGGTAAGTAATACTCCACCCTTTCCTCTTTCCTTTCACAGTTGGAAAGGCTATAGTTGCGGAAGAAGATGCTTGCTCTAAGGTTAGAAGGAACAACAAACTGCCACGTCATGAGCTCGTCTTCTGGGAAGCCCAGTGGGTAGTTGGCAGACATTAGGGTTGCTGACATCTCTCCTTTAAAAGTAGATTCAATAATACACAACCCTGTTACAGAAAAAATAGGCAGCCATTAAAGAAAATACATATTCACTTGCACAGTTCAATAGCAATGGCCAAGCAGACCTTCAAATAAAAAAAGTCACTATACATCTCAGCGATAGGCCGAATTATAGAAGAAAACAGAGTGCATATATTTGACTTGCTGATGTTGTCCTCTAAAGGCTGATCGAACACAGTAAAGAATCTGTTGTTGGCTTAAGAGTTCAGCTCCAAAAACACAGGCTCATTGGTCTACTATATGTGTGAAGAATCCAGCCTGGCACCACAGGAGAAAGTTGTGTGACATGTAATTGTGTTTACTGACACTGCCTCTCTGAATTTCATGTACAATATCACAAGCAAGAGGACATTCAAATCACTGGAGAACTTAAGTGTAGAGATTTGAATCTAAGGATCTAGGAAAAATATACAAGACAAAAGTCGCAAATGTGTAAGGTAGTAGCTGAATCCTGACCATAGCCTTGTAACATCCCTGGCATGTGAATTAAAAACTAACCCCCTGACTAACCAGGCATCACTGCAGAAAGCAAAAAGCAGGACAACTACTACTATATTCAGGCCTCATTGCTGACCCGCAGCATGAAGGAGGGCAACATCCTGTTTAATCAACAGCTAAAAATTAGTGGGACTGCCCTCTTGATAAAATACATATCTGATTTTTGCCTATGTAGAGACAATTATGTTTTATATCCGAAGCACTTTCCACCCACAACTAATGATGACTGTGGCATTCAGATAAAAGGTGGGAACTTCTCAAAACCAAAATGTGTTTATATGAGCAGTTCACAGAGGGCTCCATCCTTTGCCATGGAACCTACAGATAAAAAAATACAGTTGTGCAAGTTTCACATTACAGAATGGGCTGAAACAGAGTATTACACATATGCAGTCACAAGTAGACAGGCAGATGCATCTTCCAGGCATCCTTCTTATGGTTTTTTAAACTGCAATGGAAATCTGAGGAGATCAGCAAATTATGAAGGAAGAAGCTATTAAATAGACACAATTGCAATCTTTGTCCATTCCCATCACGTCGTTATTTGTCTGTTTTTACTCTTTTGCAAATACTTTTGGTTTGGCTTTTAAAATCCTATAAAGACTCAACTTAAGAAGAGTTTGGATGGAACAGTTTGATTCACAAATAGAAACCTGAAATCTTTTCATAATTATTATGTGAACTGGTCAAACTAAAAATCATGAAATTAAGTGGACAATCTAAAAATTTTTAAAAAAATAGAATAACTATGAGAAGTGAGAGGGACATTAGCGAATTAGCAAAGTAATTACAAAAGTAAAAATTGATAGCAAGGATCACTGAAGTAAGGAACATGATTAAGTTCTGGAAATATTTCAGTGGATTTTAATAAGATGGGACTAATGTGTGAGGATGCAGAGAAAATAGGAAAGTACTAGTGATTAAACCTATATTGTCTGTGATTTTTAGTTTCATGATTCCTCCTCCCCCCCCCATTTCAAGTTAAACAAATATAGGTTGAACCTCTCTAGTCCGGCACTCTCTGGTCTGGCATGATTTTAGTTAGCTGGATGTCCATTTATCATGGGTGTAGCCAAATCTCCCATGGACCCAGATGTCTTCTAAGAGTCCAGTAAGCAGTGGAAGTGTTAGTAATGCTGCTAGACCAGGGTTACTCAATTTTGGAAGCCCTGGGGGCCACAATGATATTCATAGTACATGCCAAGGGCTGCTACTTAAGCGTGGTTGCGTATACATGCAAATATATGTGAAAATAGCTTCTTTCACACTGACGGGCATGAATACAAAGATTAAGGCAAGTCTACACAACATGCAGGCTCCATGTAAGTCAGTTCTGCTGATACTAATAAAATGCAATATTTATTCAATTTTCACCCATATGACAGCACTTTTAATGAGCAATGACAATCCCTGAATTTAACTACTAAAATGCATATCAACAGAAGACCATTATATTGACTACTTTTTTATTTTGGCTTCACAGCAATCCATGAATTTAATTACTAAAACACATATCAACCCAAACCACATTGCAAACCCAAACCGCACCGCGGGCCACAAACAAACGGGCAGTAGGCCGCATGCGGTCTGTGGGCCACGTGTTGAGTAGCCTTGTGCTAGACAATACTGACCTCCCGTGGTCCAGCAAATTCCCTGGTTTGGCACCGATCAGGTCCCAAGGGTGCTGGACTAGAGAGGTTCAACCTGTACAAAGATTAAAAACCTTTTTGCAAGCTACAGGAGCTAAAACTGCAAATAAACAAGTACATAGTATACTGTACCTACTTTTTATGGAAGATCTGTTTGCTATGTTAAAGCCAGAAGTGGGGAGATGTGAATTCCATGGGATCTGCAAAGCCATCACAACACCTCCCTGAACCTTGACCCGAGACACGGAGCCATTTCTGCAGAACGTTCCAATGTTGACTGTAGTAGCATCGATATAGCTGCTGATCTTGTAAGTGATTAAATCGGGACAAGTGTCTGTGGGCCCAATCTGCCTTAGCCATGGTGTAGAGAATTTCAGTTCAAGTCCAACCTTCTTATTGGCTTTCACATCCCAAATGAAGGTCCTGTTAAGGCGAGGCAATCCTGATGGCTGAAGATGAACATCTCCAAAGGGGCATGGGCCCGACATACAATCTAAAAAACAGGGCACACACAAAGCAGGTGCACAAAGCATCAACAGTTGAGGAACTTGCTGTTTTCCCCCTCCCCTCACTGTGTTTATATTTTTCTAAAAAAAATACCTAAATCCCCACCACCACTTAAATTACAGTGTGCACGTTTGTTTAACAGTTAACAAATTGCAGCAAATTGCTTTTTTAACACAATAAATTACATGCATTGTACATTTCCCTGCAGCCCTCTAGAGAAAGCTGGAACACTATGGACAACCTTGGCTGTTCAAAAACTTTAAGACAGACCCCACTGTAATAATAAGATATATTATTTTTCATAAAGTCAGATTTCAAAAAACAAATACATTTTAGTTTTTTTTATTTTTAAGCCTTCATAACTCATGTTTTCAAGCTTTCCTCCATAGCCATGAGGGCTACAAATGCTCTTCTTAAATGAAAACTGAGATTTGTGACTCCAGGAAAGACAGCGTTTAGAAAAACATCCTATACAGTAAGATTCTTGATACAATCATAAGAGTTGGCATTGCTGATGTTGGAAGCGCCTACAAGAGTTGCCGCTAAGATTGTGCTACACAGAAAGTGCTACCAGGCATCCAGAAGGGACTGGTGTATCCAGGGCTGCCGATGAGTGGGGAGAGCTGTTGCCCCAGGACCTGGTGATTTAAAAGGACCTGGGGCTTTGGGCTCTTTAAATCACTGTTGAAGCCCGGGTGGTTCTGAGGGCTGGGTGGAGGAGGGACTAGCTGCCTCTAGCCCCACCCCTTCCCACCCAAGGCCAGACCCCTTCCAAAGGCCCAGAGCTGAACCCCAATGCTCAGGGCCCAACAAAGCCTCCTGCCAGCCCTGGGTATACCAAAGCATTCAGGGACCTCCTGCAGTGATTGGTTACAATTTTTCAATTGCATGGTAGTCAAGAAATCCAACTTGCAGCTTCTGCATTAGTCCTGCCCCATGTTTATTTTGTCATGAACCGGATAACTAGGTAAGGCTAGTAAAATCATTATTAGTATTAGACAGCCTTAAACTAATACCCTATTGTTTATAAAAGTTTATCAATTTTTAACGATATAGGCCAAAATTTTCCATGTCAGATGTCTGTCTTGGGGGCTATATTTTTCTGGAAATTTTCAGCCAAAATGGTTCCGCCATTTTTTAAGTCCAAAGGGAAAAGTATATCGTTTTCCCTCATGCTAAAAAAATCTAGCAAACTTTTTAAAAAAGCTTTAGGAGATGATAGGACGGTGGGAGGAGTGGAGTGGCAACTTATGGCTAAGACAATTGAATGGAGAACTGGATTCTTTCCCAGACTCTCCCACAGAGTTCCAATATGCTGCTGTTTCAGCCACGTAAACCAAACTTTTCACAGGTGGCTACTAATCATGCATTCCTCCCTCTTGGACTGCCCAACTTGAGATGCTGGGCTAAACATTCAAGGCTGCAACTCTACGTCAGCGGGCACTATAAAGATGTAAATATCGGTTAAAACAGTTAACCAGTTAAATGATTAAACTTATACTGTTAAACAGTACAAGTTTAACAGTATAAGTTTAACTGTTTAACTGTTGGCAGGCTGCACAAAGCAGCTGGGATTGGGGTCCAACCTGATCTGCCAAGCACGGCAGGGGCTGCTCCAGGCTAGCCTGCCTGCCATGCAGCTAGATCCCTGCCTGCCTGATGTAGCCATGGTTGGGACCCACTGGCTGGCCCAGCGCAGCTGTGGCTGGAGTTATGCCAGCCCGCTGCTTAGCCAGGATCCCACCTGCTCAATGTGAACTGGGCTATTCAGGCCTGGTGTGGCTGGTTACCCAGTAGCATTCCAGTAAACGTAATATATATAACCTTATATACCCCTACTATGAGGTGCTATGCAAACTGGGCACTCAAAATTAGTGGATGCCTCTAATCTTACTTGCTGTGCCTCACCTATCCATCTGGAAAAAGGAATAATTTTACACCCTCACCTCTCAGGGGGTGTTGTGAAGATAAACCCATTAACATTAAAGCTCTCAGATACAACCGTAGTGAGCACCATAGGAAAAACCCAGAAGGGATTTAATAATTTTGCCTTCAGAGCTAAATTTAACAGTGTGAAGTAAATAAGGCCTTATGCCCAGGCCCACTGACGGGGGAGAGGGGACAAAAGGAGCAGTTGCCCTAGGGCCTGGCAATTCAAAGGGGCCCAGAGCTCCCAGACACCCCTGCTGTTACAGCAGTAGTGGCTGGACTCCGGGCCCTTTAAATTGCCACTGGACCACAGTGCCATGCTATGTGCGCCGTACAGCTCTGAAGGCATGGCGGGTAGGACACACTGGGCAATGCGGAAGGCTGGCTACCCCTGGCCTCAGAGTTTACGACTGAGACCTTGCCTCTTACAGGAGTACAGAACAGCCACTCCCACTCACTTTGCCCACGCACCATACAGGCTGTCGGCTCCCCTGCTTATGCCTTATTTATTTTGTTTTACCCTCATTGTTTTGTGCACAAACAGCATAAAACAAAAAGTGTGCACCATGCGTTCCATGCAGGGGGCCCTATGGAAAAAACAGTATGCTTCTGCAATTAAAGACTGCATCGTAATGCACGTGCACAATGGGGACAAATTAAAGTGAACAGGCAACCGTCATTCTGCCATTTCCTAGCTTTTGAGTGCCTGACTTTGCAATTTTAAGTTCTATTAATGTAATCTGTGTGTAATATGTATGTATATCACCCTCTGTTGAGCTGAATCAAACCTCTCCAAATGTGTATCAGCTAACAGAGAAGGATTAGCTATAATTTCTGTGCTTTTGGGCCTGTGCTTTTTGAGTACGAGGATGAGAGTATGTGCACTGTCAGATCATCACAGTGAGATCAGATGTGCAGCAGAGCGATAGCCATTAAGTCCTAGATATCCCACAATAGGTTATCCAATAGTTGTACTGTACATAGTGTGAACATTAATGACCATACATAAACTGCATGCACAATGTGGAAAAGATATACAGTCCTGTCTTATGCGCCAACATGCATCTATGAATGTTTACTCATTATAATAAACCCAGGATATTCATCTCAATAACTCTACCTCATACCTACAAAAGACTAACCCTACAGCAGCCAGATTTGCTAGCATGGGACTCTGCTCCCATGTATCCAATCTCCATCCCAGAACCTGCACCCCCCTGAACCTGCACCCCCGCCCATAAAAAAGTGCAGCCTTTGAGCACATACCAAAATCTTGGAGTTGCCCCCCATCAAAAATTATTGCCCACCCTTGCTATAGTAGTTACTACAAGATGGCATAATGAGCAAGATATCCCCATGTGTTGTTATGAAGCAGACACTAAACTAGAAGGTGAGGAGGGGTTAGAAATTCTAAAAGGGGACATTTGAAACATGTCTTACCAATGTTCTTTTGGATTTCCATGACTAAAAATTTCTCTGGTGCTGCACACTTGAAAGTATAATTTTCTATTTTCACAGCAGTAGTTATCCTAACTTCAGATTTGCATGTTTGTCTCAAACAGATTTTACAGTCTGGTTGCAGTGGAACAGAAGATGCACGTTTAATTGTTACTGTGATGTTGTCCTCAGCATGAAGGGATATTACAAAAGAATCTGAAAAGAAAAAAAAAAAAGAAGATGCCTCAAAGTAAGCTGCACGTGAATATCAGATCATTTCCCCACACAGCCAAGGATATTACATTTTTAAAGAGTAATGTTTTAACTGTGTTCTTAAAGTTTGAAACACTGAGCCCACAAAAACACTTTTTAAACCTACTTGAAACAGCTGCCTTCCAATTTTTTTGCTTATGCTAAATGAGAAAAGAAAGATACTGAGTATCACATAGGAACAGCCATACTGGGTCAGATCAATGGTTCATCTAGCCTGGTATCCTGTCTTCTGCCATGGCTAATGCTGGGTGCTCAGAGAGAATGGACAGAACTGATAATCAGCAAGTGATCTATTCCCTATTGCCCATTCCCAGTTTCTGTCAAACAAAGGCTGGGACACCATCCCTGCCCAATAGCCATTGAGGGACCTATCCTGTTGCACACGCAGTACCATTCCTGCATCCGTTCACTTGTATTGTCCTTGTTTTATTCCACTCACAGTTGAGACACTAATATTGGTAACATTTGGGTCGAGATTCCTCTGAGGATCTGGGCCTTACTATTCACAGCTGCTAGTGTCCAAACTTTGGCTTTGGCCCGGTTCTCCCTACCACAGAATCCGTTTCCATGTCTGCAGGCACATATGAGGTTATGATTCAATTCAGGAAGCGTATATTGCAGTCAGATTAGAAAATGAGCCTTAATTGGAGTAATTGTACATAGCAGAAAGCACTCATATTAGTAAGAGTGCAGTGACAGCACCATGTACCTATTGCCTCACCACTATTAGTGACAATACATATGGGCAGGGCACTATGCAGATGCTAAGAAACAAAGTAGAAAGGACAAAAGACAGGACTATGCAGCAAGCACTATGCGGATGCTAAAAAACAAAGTAGAAGGGACAAAAGACAGGACTATGCAGCACTTTAAAGACTAACAAGATGGGTTATTAGATGATGAGCTTTCATGGGCCAGACCCACTTCCTCAGATCAAATTGTGGAAGAAAATTGGCATGACCATATATACCAAAGGGATACAATAAAAAAAAAGGGGGAACACATAGAAAATAGACAAATCAGAATTTAGAACAGAGGGGAGATGAGGAGGGGAGGTTAACCTATGTGTTCACTTTTTTTTTATTGTATCCCTTTGGTAGAGGTTAACCTATGTATTCACTTTTTTTTTATTGTATCCCTTTGGTATATATGGTCATGCCAATTTTCTTCCACAATTTGATCTGAGGAAGTGGGTCTGGCCCATGAAAGCTCATCATCTAATAAACCATCTTGTTAGTCTTTAAAGTGCTGCATAGTCCTGTCTTTTGTTTCAGCAAGACCAGACTAACACAGCTACATCTCTATTACTAAAGTAGAAGGGAGTAACACAACCTAACATCCATTTTTAAAGTACAGGTTGAACCTCTCTGGTCCAGCAACATCTGTGATCCGGCAGAACCAGACAGCCCCTAGACCAGAGATCCCCAGCAGCTGAGGCGCCAGCAACTGGGAGCCCATCCAGAGGGCCAAGAATGGAGCCGGACCTGCAGCCAGGGAGCTGGTGGCCCAGATCCAAGCCAGGGGACCATGAGCAGAGTCGGTCCAATGTCTGGGGACAGGTAGCCCAGCCTGGGTCAGCAGCAGAACCTGGCCCTTGGGACTGGCAGTGGGGTTGGTGGTTGTGGGGTGGGAGCCCAGATGACAGGCTGGCAGCTGCCAGAGAGAGCCTGGAGGCTGGCAGCAGAGGGGCCAAAATTGGCCATCCCTAGTCCAGAAAACTTCGTCATTCAGGACCAGGCAGGTCTTGAGTGTGCTACCCTGAGGAGGTCCAACCTAAATAAAAACACACTGCATTCTACATGCGAGCTTCTCCTGTTTTGTTCACAAGGAGTGAAGTGAATGCACGTTAAATTGAACAATGGAACTTTATTAAACCCTCATTCTATGCATTCCCTATTCCACTGACATGCTCTCAGTTACTGTCCCTGCCTAAAGGATCCACACAGACATGGCTTCATCTTCCCCACACTTCATAGTGTATCCCTGCAGGTTTGGGTGCAAGGAGCAGAGTCCTGCAATGTGAAGATTTGGACTCCTTGGCTGTGTCTACACTGGCATGAATTTCCGGAACTGCTTAAAACGGAATACTATTCCGTTTTCAGTTTTTCTGGAAAAGGAGCGTCTACATTGGCAGGCTGCTTTTCCGGAAAAGCCCTTTTTCCGGAAAAGCGTCTGTGGCCAATGTAGACGCGCTTTTCCGGAAAAGAGTCCCGATCGCCATTTTCACGATTGGGGCTTTTTTCCGGAAAAGACTACTGGGCTGTCTACACTGGCCCTTTTCCGGAACAGTGTTCTGGAATAAGGACTTATGCCCAAGTGGGAGCAGAATAGTTTTTCCGGAATAGCAGCTGATTTTGTACAGTAGAGCATCGTTGCTTTTCCGGAAATTCAAGGGCCAGTGTAGACAGCTCACAGCTTATTCCGGAAAAGCGGCTGATTTTCCGGAATAAGTGGTCCAGTGTAGACACAGCCCTCCTGTGTATCTTTTGCCTACTCTTGCTTGTCATATGACTTGGCTCTTGTAATGAAATTACACTTTTCATTTGGAGTATATGACTGCCAGAAAGAGTTCAGTCCTCAAATGATATTGTACTGTGGATATGGTGCTAGTGTACAATGCTAAAATCACAGGATAATTGATTGGTTGGGCAAAACTATTCAATGAACAGGTAGTAATTTGCTAAACTGAACCTCTAAACCAAATTTGACAGTGCAGTGTTTGACGGCATAAATCACGCAGGATACAAGAAGCAAAATAGCATAACTTTGCACTGATCTGGAGGGAATCTGACCATAACTGTCATCACTTTGGTATTCTGCAAATTTCAAATTCAGCCTGGGAGTAAGTGGGTGAAATCTGCATGGAAGTCATTGGAACTTAGCCAAAGTTGAATACAAATCCAAAACATGTTGGGGATGGTAAGAGTGCTTTGTTTATAGAGTCACCTATCAGCTGTTTATATGACCGTCGATTTCTTCTTCCCTGCATCCCCACTATCACAGTGGGCAAGATATACATTATTGCCAACTGTCATGATTTTATCATGAGTTGCAAAGCTCCCAACCCTTGGGTCATGACTCTATACTAGAAAACCAGCTTTCATTTTAAAAAAATGTAATTTCCTAGCCTTCATGGGTACAGAGCTGTGCCTGAAAAAACAAACCCTAGGGCCGTGATCTACCGGTCGATTGCAGGGGGCTCTGTAAGTCGATCTTGAGCTCCCTCTGAACTGTGCGTCTGCGCACAACACATTTTACATCTGCCCTCCTCATTTGCTGAGCAGCACCCATAGATCAGAAGGTGAGTAGTTGTGGCGGCATGGTGGGCTCTGCTGGGCAGCGTCTTGAGGGCTGAAACACCCCGGCCAGCTGGGCTGGATTAGACACTGGCAGCTGCATGGCCAGCTGGCTGTGGCATTCAGCCGGGGGAGGCTGCATCATGCTTTATCTGGTCAGATGGCTGCCCTCTGCTCCAGCTCAACTGGAGAAAGGTGCAGCCATTGCGGGCTGAGCGTGGCGAGGCTGGGCGGTGGCAAAGAGGAGCAGCTGCCTGGCCCGCTGGCCATCCCAGCTAAGCTGCACCATGCTCCACGTGGGCTAGAGCAGAGGGCAGTCACCTGACCAGCTGGCCATGGCTTTCAGCCCGCGGAGGCTGCGCTGCAGGGGCTGGGTTAGCTGGTTCCAATGGTGCCTTTGGGGCTAAATAGCCATGAAGTGATTCACTTTCAAGTGACACAAACCACAAGCTGCTGCTTCCCCTGCCGGTAACTGCTGGGACTCCCCGAGTGCAGTCAAAGCTTTTCATGGCACAAACCCCAAAACTGCATCTTTCTTTCATGTCTCCATTTCTTTCTCTTTCACTGCAGCTGATTGTCTTTACCTGCTACCCAATGCCTGGGGCCTCTCCATCACTTTCCCCACTGGCTCTGTCTATGTGCAAGATATTAATTAATTAACATTACAGAAAGGAATCACCTTCCCCTTTACTCATCCCCATGGCAGCTCATTTCTACTGGCTGTGTCTGTGCACCGGTTCTATGTCTTATCTATTCCCAAGAGCCGCTGCTGTTTAAATACAAACCCCCAGATTCTAAGAGCCTCAGTCTCTCCCCAGCCACAGACCTGCCTGGGCCTGCCCGCCGGGGAGTTTCCCTCAGTGCCTGGGAATGAGAATGGAACCTCTGCTGCTTTTCCTTTCCCTGTCATCTCCCAGATGTAGCTGGTCCAATCCGGCCCAGTGACAGTGAAGCCTGGAGAGACCCTCACATTGACCTGCGCTGTCTCAAGTGAATCCATCACTGACAGCAGCTATGACTGGAACTGGGTCTGGTGTGGTCCTGGGAAAGGGTTGGAGTGGTTGGGTACATGTACCCATATAATGGAAATACACATTGCGCCACATCTTTCCAAGGGCAAGTCATCATATCTGAGAGCAAAGTGGGGCAGCCACCTGACCAGCTGGAGCACAGCGCAGCCTCGGCGGGCTGAACACCATGGCCAGCTGGTCGGGCAGCTGCCCCTCTTTGCTCCGGCTGGAGCCAGGGCCCTGTGAAGCTGTCCCTGCGTGTTCCAGTTCCAGAAGACCATACTGCCTAGCATTGTAGCCAGACAGGAACCCCCCCTCCATAACATCCATCTTTGCTTGCCTGGAGCACACAGGGCATAGAGAGAGAGCAGTAAAACCAGCATAGTCTTTGAAGCCTTGACAGAAGGCCCGGATATGCGGGCTGCTGTGACCCTGGATGGCTGTAAACAGAGATACGCCAATTGTTGACCTCGAGGCTGCGAGAACTGCCTTGACTGAAACCCATATTGATACGAACACACACTTGTCCGGGGGGAGGAATCTCCCACCCAGTAAAGAATGTCCAGTACTCACAATTTAGTTCTCTCTCTTACAAGTGTAAATTAAATTAAAACTCCCTTGTAAGAACTGGCGT